TGTGCTCTTCCGATCTAAAATTCAAGGATTTCAAAGACAAAATGTGGAGAAGAGAGTGGTTCTGTCACGCCACGGACTTTCAATCCTTAATGTATCCCTGTTTTATCATTTGCCGCATTCTCGGAACGTTTCCATACAAGATCAATGGTTCGGTTTTCGAGATTTCAAGACCGCGTTACATCCTGTCCACCGTGGTTGTTTGCGTTAACAGCATTTGCAATCTGATAAGCATTTACAATTTGATTTCTACAACCAATTCGGTAAACGTGATCAAGATTCTTGAGAGTCTCTGTTACTGTATGTGCAGTAATTTCATATTGATCATTACGCATGTCTTGAGTGGACCACGAATGCGTTTGTTGCAGACTATTTTGAATATCTCTTTGAAATTATCCTCAAAGTCATATCAAAACTTATCCAGATTGATCTATATTAAGGACACCTTCAGTACTATAACCGTGATCGTGCAAATATGTGTATATTTTTTTAAAACATTTGACTATTCGCATATCCTAAATACGGTATTAGCAATATACTATCTTTTGCTGATATTTCAGACAAATATGCTATATATAAATTGTGTTTATATATTAAAAGCTTGTTTTAAAGATATTAATGATAATTTGAGACACATGCAGAGACTCGTGATAAACGATACAAAATCATGTGTCCCCACATTTATCAATCACCTGCAGAGAAATCAATTTTTGATAATAACAAAACTCAAGGCTCTAAAAAAATGGCATTTAATGATTAGCGATGCAGTGCAAATGCTGAATATAATCTTCAGTGGGCAACTTCTTGCTACTATGGTCTTAATCTTTTCTAATACCACTTTTGAATTGTATTTCTTTATAGTACGCTGGCAAGATAATGGGATACTTATTAGTTTTGATAGACACCTATTTGACACATTTTTAATGGTCTTTGTATATCACATTCTACATTTGACGCTTATTGTATGGGTCTGTGAGACCGGCAAGTATCAGGCCCAAGAGATTCGTACCACTATTCACGATCTACTTAACAACACTAGCGATGAACAAATCAAAGATGAGGTAATAAAGATGCAATTATATATTTTTTTCTAAAGATGTGTAAATACGATTTTTTAACATTAAATCTACTGATTGTGAGTCGTATTTGCTTTTTCAATTTTACGTATTCGTTCCTTCATTGAATTTGCAATCTGATATTGCAGTTGCAGCTGTTTTCTTTACAAACACTACATCGCAAAAATATATTTTCGGCGAAAGGTCTCACTGTAGATGCGACGCTTCTCACAACAGTAAGTAATCAATTATTTACTTTCAGTAATAATACATATATATTGTTTATATTTTTTATTTCATTTTCAGATGATTAGTAGTATCACGATGTATATGTTGATATTGATACAATTCTTGATTACGTCACATTCTTGTGATGTAAAATCACATAAGTAATTCCATTATAATATAAAAGAGATAATCAAAGAAAAGGATATGATTTATTTATACTTATGTAGAATTATATATACATATTCAGATTTTCCAAAATTTAAATTTTGTCTTATCCTATGTTCTATATCTTATAATATATAAGTATAAAAAAAAATAAAGCTGTTTAAATATAGTTTTTCGGAAACCTTTTATTATCAAAATATAATATATTAAATTATAATTTATTAAGAAAACATATATTTTTCAATAACATTTAATAATTACACATAAATAATTTAATTTAATTTTACTTTAAATCTTATTTTCTTTCTCACAAATATTATCTTTCTCCGTTCTTTCTTTCTCTCTCTTTCATCAAAGATAACATAATTACAATACTTACAATGGATTAAATATGTAATTTCTGAGAACTCACACACACACACACGTGCGCGCGAGTGTATGCGTTTAAAACTGAGAATATTGAATATCAAAATCGGGGTAAATAGTATAGATGCTTATCAAACATCCTATATACATTAAGAATATATATTATTGAAAGTCCACAAATAGTATTTATTAACTAATTTATCATAATCACTAATGTATTTAGATACTGTGCAAACGATGATTCAAGAAATTAAATGCATTGTTAGCATATTACAGCAGCTATTATATTAAACACTGAATTTTGCAGATAACAGATCGAAGAGCGCCATGGTTACTTCATGACTAACATACGATCGTATAATGCCTCAGTCTTCGTTGCAGTAAATGCTTGTAGTATTAAACTGGAATTTGTTAAGTGTAGATGAAAAACAAGTAGTTTATTTCGATGCTTTATAGTGGAAAAATAAACTAAAAGACTGAATCTTAAAAAACGAATCTTGCAATCACGCTCGCGGTGATAACTGAAGTGTGTTGATAACGCGATTAATTTTTAGGCTGATATTTATATAATTTAGATTATTGTTCATCCACACATTTCATTAATCATATTCAGTATGTCATTGTAATTTCAGAAACGAATAAAAAGCAAAATGCGAAAAAAGTGGTGGCTTTTTCACGCTACGGATTTTCAAACTTTGATGTATCCTTGCTTCATCTTTTACCGTATACTTGGAATATTTCCGTACAAGATTAATAATATGAACTTGGCGGCTTCAAAACCACGTTATATCTTATCAACCGTAACTATCTGTGCTTCATGCGTTTTACAACTGATATTTTACTATTCTGATAATCAAGTCCAAGTTTTTACAAAACTCAACTTTGAAAGTATCATCAAGTTACTTCAGACTATTTGCGGTTTTATATCGATCACTACTGTAGAAATCACCACGCTCGTCTTAAGTAATCCGCGAATGCGCTTGCTTCAGACCATAATGAAGATCTCTTCAAAATTGTCTCCGGAATCATACAAAAAATTATCCAGATTAATCCATGCCAAGGACATATGCGGTTCCTTCTATTTTATCAGCTTATCTTTTATATATTACTACAAGAAAAACCTCAACATCTTGTTCATGATGTTTATGATACATGTATCTCTATTGATATTTCATACAGATATGTTGTATACAAACTGCGTTTGTGTGTTAAAGGCTTGTTTCAAGGAAATTAACAACAATCTTGTACACATGAAAAAACTCATAAAAAGAAAACCACGTGTTCTCACAATGTTTTATTATGAGCAGAGAAATTCGTTCCTGATAATGAAGCTTAAGGCTCTAATG